GTCTGTTTTGGGGCTGGTTCTGTTCAATATCTTCATCGGTTATTTAGATGATGGCATAAAGAGTACGCTCATTAAGTTTGCAGATGATACCAAGCTTGGAGGGGTTACAACTGCTTTGGAGGATAGTCAAAATTCAAAATGATCTGGACAAACTAGAGAAATGGTCTGAGGTAAACAGGATGTAGTTTAATAAGGACGAATGCAAAATACTACACTTAGGAAGGAACAATCAGTTTCACACCTACAGAATGCGAAGTGATTGTCTAGGAAGGAGTACTGCTGAAAGGGATTTACGGGTCATAGTGAATGACCAGATAAACATGAGTCAACTTTGTGTTAATGTTGAGATGCATTAACAGGAGTGTAGTGTTCCGCTCTACTCTGTGCTGGTTAGGCCTCAACTGGAGTATTGTGTCCAGTTCTGGGCATCACATTTCAAGAAAGATGTGGAGAAATTGGAGAAGGTCCAGAGAAGAGTGACAAAAACGATTAAAGGTCTAGAAAACATGAGCTATGAGGGAAGACTGAAAGAACGGGGCTTGTTTAGTATAGAAAAGAGAAGACAGAGAGAACGTGATAGCGGTTTTCAAGTATCTAAAAAGGGTGTCACAAGGAGAAGGGAGAAAAATTGTTCTCCTTGGCTTCTGAGGATAAAACAAGAAGCAATGGGCTTAAACTACACCAAGGGAGGTTTAGGTTGGACATCAGGAAAAATTCCTAACTGTCAAGGTGATTAAACATTGTTGCAAAAAGGGGTTGTGGAATGTGGAATCTCCATCACTGGAGATATTTAAGAGCAGGTTAGATAGACATCTGACAGGGATGATCTAGACAGGGCTTGGTCCTGCCGTGAGAGCAGAGGACTGGACTCAATTACCTCTCAAGGTCCCTTCCAGTTCTAGTATTCTATGATGATTGTCCTGGTCTGTTCATTCCCTTTGAAGCATTTGGCATTGGCCACTGTCAGAAGACAGGATGCTAGGCTAGATGGATTCTTGGTCTGAACCAGCATGGCAGTTCTTCTTTTCTTTTTTGATTCTATTCCTGCCTCTGCTATAGAGTTCCTGTGTGATCCTGGCAAGTCACTTATGCCAGGCTTTTCACTGATGGTCAGTAATTGCGTGTTCCTTATTGTTTGGTTTGGGGCTTTGCAGTCTGATTTGTGGAAGTGATGAGCATTCACAGGTGCAACTGGAGTGAATCAGAAGCTTGGGCACAGTGATTTGAATGTAAACGGGTGTATAATGCTACATGCTCTGACCTATCAGGTCCCAGTTGCTAAAATTGGGCACCCGGAATTAGTAGAAACTTTTGCCCATAATGTCTCTGTGCTATAGTCCCCCATCTGTGCATAGGGATAATTATGCCCCCTGTCTTTTTACAAGGGTGTTTAGAATAAATAAGTTAATATTTGTGATAAGGATGTTGATTTAGATTAATCAACTAACTGAATAGTCGATGTAATTTACATTGACTATTCGATTAGTCGATAAAATGGAGTCCCTGTTGTTGTAGATGCTCTCAAAATGGCGCCTGTGCCCACGATGGTGTTTCAGAGAATTTTAACCCTACAGGGAGAGCTCTTGTACATTTCAAAAGCAAAGCGCTGCCAGGCGCATGGGGCCAGCGGAGGACTGCTTGAGTCCCCAGCTCGCCTCAGGCTCCACACAGCGCTTCTGCTTTTGAAATTTCTCTTGCTACATTTCAAAGGCGGAAGCGCCACCAGTTCCCTGCTGGGCCCCTCCCCCTTCTCCCCATGGAGACTGTGCTTTTAAGCCGGCTCCCCCCAGCACTGGATCTTGCCCCCCCTTGCTGCCTTTCTCTGACAGAGGAAGGAGCGACTAGTCGATTCACTAGTCACCTATCCAATAAGCAGTTGTTTATCAGATAGTCGACTAGTCGCTTACATCCCTAGTTTGTGAACCAGGCAAGTTCTGTTTTGGTGATCACCATAGAAAAGTCCATGAGGAAATTAATCTGTAGAATAGGTCTTGAATAGCGTGCAGTAAATAAGACACTTGGGGCCATCTGCTGAACAGAGAGGAGGAACAAAATATTGAATAGCTGCTTACTAAGTCCATTTTGTGTAGTCAACTAGTCAAGAGTCATGGAAAAATAGTATGTGAGAAGGAAATTTAAAAGCTGTATCATAATGTACATGCACAAGGGATTGCATAGGCAATCTTCTTTCTGGCATTTCCTAACTTTTAAGGGCTTGACTTTGCAGTCTGCATCCCCCTTTGAACATAGCTTATTTGTGTGTAATTTAATATCTCTGTTGTAAGTGAGGTTTAGTGTCCCATTGTAATAGGCACTGCATAGATGCATACAAAATCATGAATTTGCCAGGAGGAGCACGTGTACCATATTAGAACTTGAAACCCAATTAGCGACCTATGGCTGACAGGTGGCTGTATATAGGGTTGAAACATCTAAAGATCCATTCTGTGGCTTTTTGCGGATAACTGCATTGGTAAAGATTAAAAATAACAACTCTGCAAGATCTGTATATTGCAAAAGAGCAGTGCTGAGAGATGGGTTTCTGATACGGTGATCTCAGATATGAACACATTCCACCTGTTTTTTGTCATTGCCTCTCTCCCTCTTCCCCTCATCCTGCAAAGCTTCCCCCTCCCCCCATTTCCCTTATCATTCCAGTTCTCGTGTCCTCTGGGTCTCTTTCTGTCAGTCTGGGGTTATGCCAGATTGTGGTTTGTAATGTGAACTTCTAGCAAGTGATGTAGGAACCAATAGGAATCAGGACTGGAAGGTGAAAGGCTGCACAGTGCTTGGCTATATGCTGTGATGTGTAACTTTATTTTTTTTTCTGTTGGAGATGAGAAAATTAATTCCCAGTTGACTCAATTTACTGTGTGACTCATGGGCCCCTGCTGCCCTTCCTCATGTGACTGGTCCCAGTGTGACAGAGGACTGCTGTTTGGCCAAAGCTGAAGTCTTGCCCTGTGAGTTTTTAATTTTGGGGGGCTAACAGGTTCTGTATAGAGTGGGTCTGTCCTGTCTGTGCTCCATATCTGGATTAGAGCAGGGTTTGAGTAGCGTTCCCAGAAATTCCTTTTCTTCTTTCCTGTGCTAAATGCTCTATGCTCAGAAACAAGATGACGGTCTTACTTTGGTGGAATATTATTTTCCTTCAGTGATGGGCTCCCTCAAGTCAGCCAAAACCTCTTACAGGTGCTGTTCAGCTTTTACCAGCCATTGCCATGTAGTAACATTAATGAACTTGAAGTGCTCTGAGTTAATATAATGCACAGTAGTAACTCAAGCTGATTTTTATACATAAACATTAGAGTGATAGTGCATCTGTTCCAGCATGTTTCCAAACTCCAATCAAGCTATCTCTTTCCAGCTCATAAAATAGTGACGCAGACAGTGCTAGTAATTTGGCTAAAAGCAATAAAATAAAGGTATAACTTATTCATGTCATGTAGGAGTTCATTCCTTAATGTTGGGAGGATTAATTAAAGTCTGAAGACGCGGCAGGGTGTGACTTTAATATGTGCTTCTATTTTACAGTCGGGTCAGGTTAATTTTCACTCATCACTAGGATTCCCATTGGGAATTCCAAATGAATAAGTCAACAAAGGGTAAGAAAATAAAGCTGGCCCGTTACCAAGTGTCTGATTCATGCAAATGTTTCCTGCATGATGCTTTACAAAACTAATAAGAGTCTGAGTAACACGAGACTGGGACATCTGCATTGTCAATATTGTCTCATTTTTTCCTTGTGCTCTCCCATCTATCTGGCTCCACCTATGATCTCTTTTTGAGGCTGAGAGAGCGCTCTTTGGGACCGGGAGCATTGACTTGTTCTGTGTTTGTATGGCATATAATCGAATGGCGCTCCGGTCCATGACTAGGCTACCTAGGTGCTACTGTTACCCACACATCTACTGGGGGATGGTTCACTGTCCCATATAGTGGCACTGAGACCACTTACACAGAGAGAATGAGTTTAGTCTTTGCTGAGAGCTAGCTGGCTTTTAGTCTAAGCTGTAGAGGCTCATGCACTAAGCTTCAGAGGTCCCAGGTTTGGTTGCACTTGTCCACATTCCATTATTACAGTATAATAATAGTAGACCGAACCTCAGAGCTTTAAAAAGTGCATGGACCTAGGGAATCCATAGCCAAGTCCGAGTTGATTGGTCCCAAGTGTGCATATCAGAGACTTTGCTACAGCACTCCTGCTTTTAAAGACCTGATCCAACAGCTCCCATTCAGATGCTGAGCACCAAACTCCTGCTGATAGGAATTCTGTATGTGTTGTGTCTGTGGGATCATGCTGTGAACTTTTCTACGGTGTGGGAAGACCACTGTTCTTTACGTCTGTGAATTGCAAAGCATGTGGATTATCTGAGGTTCTTTTATGACTTGCATGATTATGGCTCTCTAGATCCATTGAAGGAGGGCTGCTGTTGATAAATGTGAACAAAGCAAGTGTGCTTCAAGGGTCTGAGTATTCTTAAAATCAGAATAATATTTCCCCGGTCCAGGCATTTCCCATCTGTTAGATCCTCTCCCTCTTTTTGCTGAGCCAGTGACCTTTTTCCAAGACACAGCTTTTATTAACCTAGAAATGCACTGACATTAGTCTCTCCTTATGAGGAAAGGTGGAGGGATTTGGGCTTACTTCGTCTGCAGAAGAGAAGAGTGAAGGGGGATTTGATAGCAGCCTCCAACTACCTTAATGGGGGTTCCAAAGAGGATGGAGAGAGGCTGTTCTCAGTAGTGAGGTATGGCAGAAGGAGGAGCAATGGTCTCAAGTTACAGTCTCAAGTTATCTAGATAGGATATTAGGAAAAACTATTTCCCTAGGAGGGTGGTGAAGCACTGGGATGGGTTCTCTAGGGAGGGGTGGAATCTTCATCTCTAGAGGTTGTCTTGGCTTGACAAAGCCCTGGCTGGGATAATATAGTTGGGATTGGCCCTGCTTTAAGCAAGGATTGGACTCTATAACCTCCTGACGTCTTTTCCAACCCTAGGATTCTGTGAAATATGGGAGGTGTGCCAAAAACTTTGCAACTTGCCAGCATAAATCACCTCTGAGAGAAGAGATGGATATTCCACCAGATGTGATCGTTTCCAGAGGAATTTGGTTTTCCTTCAGAAGTGTTTCTCTGCAAAAGTACTTTATCGCAAGTCCATGAACATGTATGGACAGCCCCATCATGAAGTACAAAATCAGCGTAAGGAGAGATTTCTCCAGAATGAATTGATATTCATGTTAGTGCCACATGTCCAGAGACTCCCAGTTCAAATCATGAAGACGTTCTCCCTAATTGTCTCCGTTGTCCGAGTTTCTGCTTGGAAAGTTATAATCTTGTGAAACTTTTGTGAATTATGAACGTATTATGCTTTTGTGGATTCACTTTCCATTCTTGACAGGAAGCAAGGGAAATATTCTAAACCCGTGGTGTCCAGCACACTAGCCGCTAGCCACATGTGGCTGTTTGGCTACTGCTTCAGAACTGGTTGGACACTACAGCTCTCGAGCCGAAGGAAGGCAGTGTTGTGTAGCGGTTATAGTCCAGGAAAGCAAGTCAGAAGTTCAGTATTGAGACAGACATGTCCCAGGTTGAACAGCCCTGAGGAAGAAAGAGGCAATAGAAAGACCCCAGCCCTCTGCTTAATTTGATCCAACCCATAGCAAGTCTCCAGGCTGTAGGCCCGAAGACCCAAGCTGCAGCACCCCCATGCAGGGTTGAGCATGAGCGCCGGTGCCATAAGTCCGTTCCCACTACAGGTAGAGCCAAATTAAGAAAGTGGCTTTCGGGGCTGCAGCCTGGGGCCCCTCAGATCCAAGAGCCACCCGAAGTCCAGATCTTTTTGCAAGGCCCCCTTAGCATGGGACCCTGGGCTGCAGGCACTGAAGCCCCTGTGCATATTCTGGCCCTGCTTGGTTGGGGGGAGGGGGCCCCCCCATTGGGCTGGAGCCACAAGAGCCAGGGGAGGCTCCATCCCTGCCCTGCCTTTGCTTGCAGACTCCACTCCCATTGGAGCGGAGAACAGCGTGGCCCGCGCTAAGCCGCCTGCCTTCGCCTACCAAAGGGGAGCTGTCCCCGCTGAGCACCCTGCGTCCATGCACCAACCCCCTGCTCCAGGTCTAAGCTCCCTCCCAGGTTCTAGGAGTCCCCACCAAATCGGATCACCCTGAGTCTCCAAAAGAGTTCACCTGGCCCTGACTACAGGTGAGTTCAGTGAGGGTGGTTTTATTTTTCACTCGTAGGTGGCCCCAAGTGGTTTGTTTGTTTCTGTGGGTCAGTGGCCCCTGACAAGAAGAAAAAGGCTCTTCACCCCTGCCTTAGCTCTGTATCCTGTCTGGCTTGTTTCTCTGTCGGGTATCTGTCTGATGTAGCAATGTTATCCTCGTGAGGTGTTTACAGCATTGCATGTAGAGTAGAATCCGCAGTAAGCAGACAGTAAAGCAGTGCTATGGCAGCGCTGTAACGTAGCTGTGTAGTCACGGCGCCGGCACTCCAAGCGCTGTTAAAAAACCCACCTCAGGAAAGGGAACTGCTCCCAACCCGCTGCTGTTTTCACACCCATGCGTGAGGAAAGTTTCAGCACGGTGAGCAGCAGCATACACACGTTCTGAGGGCACGTCTACACAGCAGGGCTATGCTCGAAATAAACAACTCAACTTAAGCTATGCAACGAGTGTCGCTCAAGTCGAAATAGCTTATTTCGAAATTGGGCGCGTCTACGCAGCCCTTATTTCGAAATGGAGCCGTCTTCCCCCGACTTCCTTTTACTCCTCATACAATGAGGGTTACAGGAGTTGGAGTAAGTAGTCCTCCAGCGTTCGACATTGTCAAAATAACTGCTTGTATATAGACACGGACTATGTTATTTAGGAATAAGGTCCATTATTCCAAAATAATGCTCTCAGGAGCGGCTTGAGGCCAGCTGCAGCAGCTGGCGCCCCAAGCGGAAGGCGCGATTGGCACCCCCGCCTGCATGGCTGTCAATGGCCATGACGTTATCACGGGGGGGCCTGGGCGCCCTGTGACGTCGTCATCAGGTGCCCATGCTGGCACCTAGTCTGCCTAGGCTCACAGGCCACCCCTGAATGCTGCTGTGTAGACGTAGCCTAAGTGACCACATAATCAGCCAGCCAAAGCTGGTCAGAGAGCAACAAATACAAATAAAACCACAGAAACCAGTAATTTAACCAAAGGTCTAGTCAGTTTTAGTCTGGCAGTCAAGCTTGGATGCTAGAGTTGTCTTTTAAATCAAGTTGTTGTTTGTGGGAGGTTTTTGGATTGAAGTAAAAACCCAGACTTAAACTATCTTTAATGCTATTCCAAGCTACTATCTGGATTGCAAAGGAAGTCTGAATCCTGTTTGGTGCAGTGCTAATGCAACAGAGCCCTGATTCTGATATGGGCTTACGAGCATTACTGCAGTGCAAATACATGAAGATGTGGGGGTGTCTAATTCACTTAGGCCCCTTTTAAATCTAAATCCTAATAAACGATAGCAAGGAGATGCACATGACAGAAGACTGTAACCCAGCCCACTTGTCCCTGTAAAGCAACTAATGGAGTGGTAGCCAAAGTTGGGACCATTTTGCTGTCTGGTGCAATTCTCATTGAAGTCAGTGTGAGTTGGATCGGGCCTGCATTTCTTTAGAAGACATGTATTCAGGCTCACTGGTACACGTCCAGCCAAATAATCTTTTGATAATTGGGACAGACAGACTCTTTCTCCTGTAGAACGGTTAATTCTAGCTGTAATCTTGTATTTCCATTGGAAGTTTGTAATTTTTCTTGCCTTTAAAAACCATCTCCCTGCAGGGGAATCTGGAAGTCTGAAGTGTTTAGGCATAATTAGAATGATACCATTAAATTTCTTAATTTTATTTTTTTCTCTTGCATTTGAGGAGAGTTTTTTAATTACTTTGATCTAAGCGATGGGAGTAGCTAATTGGATTTCAGGCTAGAACTGTGTAGGCACCAGAGAAGAGAAAGTGGAAACCGGTCTTGCCAAGAAATTTAAATATAGTTCTTGATGGAACTAGTAATGTCCTGAAGGGCAAATTTTAAAATAAATTACAAAATCCATTTGAATGTGTTATCAGCCAACCTCATCTTAAAGGGAATGATGAATATGAATGTGGGAGTTAGGTGAGCAAGTGGTAGGGTTGATCATACCTTGGACTGTGTGCATGAAAACAGTGCTCCATAACTATTAGAGGGAGCAGAGGGGAGTACATCTCACCTTTGCACCCTGAGGCTGTTACCTGCTGTTTGCCCCCCCCCCCCCCCGCCCTGCTCCGGGGGGCGCCGCGCGCCGACGTGAGC